ACTCCACCAGCCACAGCATACAGGGTGATAGCTTGAGCTGGAAACAAACAGATGGATTCTTACATTTTTTGTGTAATTCTAATGACAAATGCGAATGAGGTTTTCAGTGATGGCAATTGAGAATGATATAAATATTCCTTACATTGGTATTATGTAGAAAATGTTCACTGAAGGCTGAGAATCAACTGCCCTTTGAAATGAAATGCCATACATACATGTATAAGAGAAAGCTGCCTGCAGTTGAATGTGTTAACTAAATATCATAGTGCATTGAAGGTAACAATAGATAGTGTGTAGTGTTTAACTATTTTGATATATCTTTTAGATGTTCCCGTTAATGAACACTGGTTGTGTGAGACTATCAGCAAAACCAACTAGTAAATTATTACCAGAACATAGCCTTGGACAGTGTGAAAATTTCATAAAAGAATCTTGTTCATACTCACTCTGTGCCTGACTGTCTGTAGCCTCACATTCCCTCCCCGTGTGTCCATGCTGACACCTGAAATAGAATTTGTATATAAATAATAATGGTCCACTTTAAATCAAAATTTGATCAAGGCTCCATGTAATTTTAAAACTGTTTTTTTTAGCACAATACCTGTGTTTTTATTTTGAAAAATAAAAAAAAGGTTTCATGATAAAAGCTCCATTTTTTCCAAAAAAAAAAAAAAAAAATCTGATAATCAATAAATAAATAAGTTAATTAATGAATGAATTAATTAAATTGCTGGTTACAGGTCTAGTGACAATAGGCAAAGGAGTGCATTATTGGAATGTTCATACATTTGTATATAATGTTTATAATGATGAAGTTAATGTGGCAAATGCAACGACATATATGTTTAAAGATGAGAAAAATACTAAAATTTGGTCTGTATCACTTTATATATTTAGACACAGACTAAAATTGAAACTTAATTATACAATGAATATTTACATCTTTACCAAAAAGCATTACAAAATAAAACTGATATTTTTTACGACAAGCGCACATTTCAAGGTGTTAGTTTGGACAGCAGTGAAGTAGAGGTTGGGCATTGTGTTTGGATGTGCAAATTGAGTGTGTTAGTTGAGACAATGAAGCACTGAACACAATCTGTACCTGCAGAAGAAAGTACTTTTATCACGCTCACAGGTTCCCTTGTCATTACACGTAACCCCGCTGCAAACATCTGAAACATAATGTCACACAACATATTTAATATCCAATATACAATGATATTTTATAACATGCACAAGAATGTATAAAGTAAGAAAAACAAATACACAAATTAAAACCAAAAGCCTCATTTCATGCCAGATCCTTACTACTAAAAGTGAAAGGCCTGAATTCACTGGTACGTCTTTCCATATCCTTCAACATTAGAATAACATATGTATACCTATAATTATGTGTCTTACTGTGGTGTGGTTGTTCTTACCTATACATTTGTCAGTGTCTGGATCTCTGTATTCGCCATATTTACACTCACACTGGTAGCTGCCTGGGGTGTTGATACATTTGAGTTTTCCACATGCGTGTTGTCCTGTTATACACTCATCAATGTCTGTGAGTTTTTAAGAAAAATAAAAGACAACAAGAGTATCAATGTTTAGGCCTATGTGTTTATCAGTATGGTGTCTTGAACACTGAAGATCTGTTTTTCTATGATGTCATCAATAAAGTACACCAAAATCGGGGGCGTCTCGATAGTCCGAAGGTTCATTGGTCCGAAGGTTCATTGGTCCGAAAAGTGGTAACGTTTTCATCGATTTTTTAATCAAGGGTTCATTGGTCCGAAGGTTCTATAGTGAATATTCGGACCAATGAACCTTCGGACTATTGAACCTTCGGACTATTGCTACGGCCCCCCAAAATCAACCATATTGCACAGAGCTACAAACTTTAAGGCTTTTATTTGACAATCATTCTCTACTCACAAAAATTGACTGAGATTTTAGAATTCCATGATTCAGGGTAGCTCTTTCATTTATTTAAACTGTTTTATTCTATTTAATTGAAAAGAAATCATCTCTGGTTATTAACTTGGATTACATTCAAATAAGCCCCCACTGTGATAGAAAATTTGGTTCAGGCAAAAGTGACTATCAGTCCTATCAAATAATGGTTATTAGTATAATCAAGCAATCTCTTTACAGCATCATTATTCAGGGGCGGATTTAGGCCGTCTTCTGGGTCTTCCGGAAGACGGTCAGATTTTCAAGTTTACATTGACGGGTATCTAATTTTTTCTGTCGGAAGATGGTCAAAAATGGAGGATGGATCAACAAAGATAATTTGGAAGACTGTCAAAAAATATAATATAATTTATTCAAACAGTCTAAAAATATAATATAATTTATTCAAACAGTCTAAAAATTGCCATTCTCTCCAAAATGTAGGTTGTTTTAATTTTGTCAGTTATCTCTAATTCCCCACAGTTCTTCTTATATTGCAGTAAAAATTACCCCCTTCAATAAAGAAGATACATTAAGCAGAGGAAATTATAATCATGAGTAGGTTACATACCTTGACATGCATCAGTTATTCCTCGTTCCGGAGGGTACCTCTGAAATCCATCTTTACAGTTACAAGAGTAAGTGCCAGTGTTGAGACTTGTATTGCAGTTGGTTGTCTGTAGGTCACATGGTAAATATTCATTGCAAAAATCCACAACTGAAATTCAAGCGAGTAAACATAATTTAAACTGTTGCTATTCACTATTACATGCTGACAAAAGTTTTAATCAGCCCTCCCATGCACACAAATTACCAGTAAAGTTTTTAATTGATTATTGAAAGTGTAACTTTAAAAACAGAACACTTAGTAGGAATGTAATACATGTACGTATTACGTGTTTCAGATTGTGTTTGACATGATTTTCATTTCATCTAGAGGACATTTGACATACATGTATGTTACTGCATACAGTAAAATATATACAACAATGTTGCTTACCTGTTGTATTCAGTGAATTCAACACAAATCCAGTAATATTACCAAAGTTACAAGTTGTATTGTCATCTGTACATTCACTGAGTTTTGCTTCAATTATCTCTTGCAAATTTTTCTTGAGTTCTGTGTCATTACTTGTTCGATTGACAAAGTACAGAATGAAGTCCACAATCAAACTGCCTTTCCTGAAATTCATTTATTAAACCAATGTAATTCATTCTTTATTATATCAAGGCAAATAGTATAGAAGGCACTGATGACAGATACACTGGACTTCAACAAATAAAAAAAAACTTTTAAGCTACAAACACTTCATATAGACAAAGGAGTATATTTTTGTTTTCTACATTATCCATTTTTTTTTTTTTTGTAATGTAATCCTTTCAAGCCATAGATCTTAAATGTGATACATTGAAAAGAGTTTTTTTTTAGTCCTTGTTATTTACCAAGTGCCAAAACTTTGACAACTCATGGGCTCAGATGAGGATAGGGAGAGTTGGCAATGAAGGTGCTTACCTTAAATTTGTCACTTTCACACCAGATATACTGTCATTTCCCACAAATATCTGTTGTAGCTGCAAAATCAGAATGGAAAAATTATGATTAAGACATATAATGAGTAAAATTGAAAAACTGGGACTGCTTTTTTATTATTACATTATTAGACGTTTCACTTAAAAATCACACTAACTACAACGATATGTCCTACAGTACACGTGTCATGTACATGCTGCACTGGCAGGTCCAAGAGATGAAGTCACAAGAAGAGGTGTTGCCTGCAACCCCATTTTGAAATACAGATTATTTGAAAATAGTGTAGCAATATGCCACAATCTGACACGTACCAGTTGGTATTTTGTGTAAAACAAGCTCCTATTACCCTGTCTTTTCTCATATTTTGTGAAGCTGTTGTGGCTGTCTCTGGATTCACCAGAATTGAAAACATCTGTTATTTTTTATTTCATCCAGAACTCATGCTATGTACTTCATGGGAGGGTTAAACAATGTGGTTATTATACTGTCTCATATGCACACTGCAGTTTTTCATTTACAGTTATCAATAGCAAAATGTAAAGCATTTCAACTTACTTCAATCTCAACAGCTTTCATGACTTTGTCTTTCTTTTCTTTAGCTTCTATAGAGTTTGGATTTATAAATATTTGAGAGGAATTAATTTTTTGGTTCCCGACTGTTATTTCGGCAAATTTTAACTCTGCCTTAAACTGTTGCTTTGCTGGAAGGGAAGTGGAAACATATTACAGATCATTAAATTTGTTTTGTGCATCTTTTACAACCCTGATGCACATTTTGTAAAAGATATAAATATTTCCTTTTTGCAATTTAAAAGTCTTCATTTTTGTCATGGCGTTTTACAGTTACAGTCACTTTGGTTAAAATATTTTATCGCCATCTGTGCATGATATACAAGCTGAAACTCTGGCAAAAAAATATTCCAAGGTTAATGTAACTTTTCTAAAATTATCATACCCAACAGTGTCATAATTTTTTAATTTTTCAAAATAAACCCCATTTTCTTCCATTGCCACATCATTGTGAAGTGGACTCCAGAAGACAGTTTTGATACTGTACAGTAATCAAGACATGATCTCCTAGTACTGTTTTTTTTTTCCACCAGAAGGGTACCGGTACTTGCCTTTTCTTAGAAGAAAACGGACAGACTGTAGGAATAAAAAGCATCAAAATTTAATACAACAATATGTAAGGATGCTCCTACCTTTCTTGCACTCCTTTGTTTCCGTCTCCTCATAGAAAGCAGGCAGACATAGGCACTCATATCCTCCAGGATTATCTTTACAATATCTCGGTGGATCTGAACAAGGGTTGCTTTCACATTCATCTATGTCTACAATGTGCATTGAATTGTTTAAATGTTTAATTAAAAAAAAAACGTATTTAAACAGCAATCTGATAATTGTATAACAGCAGGAACATCTCTGTTATGGTTTGGTTGATATTATTATAGGTGATTGTTATTAACTGTGCCACCATATCTAATAAGCACACATGCACATTCATAACAGTGTAATAATAATAATAATAATAATAATAATAATAATAATAATAATTTCACACATCATACAAGGCACATTAGCCTTAAAGCACCAGGCACTGCCTTAATAAAATTTAAGCAATACTTTCATTGCTTGAGGATTGATGATCCACAATCAGCACAGTTTATTCAAACTTCCCATGGTCTCTTAAGATGCTTGGCAATATATACTTATATCTTGAATATCTTATGTATAAACCAAAGAAACTCTGTTATATATGAAGTAGTACCTGTAGAGCAGTCTACACCTGTAAATCCAGATATACATTCACACTTTCCACCAGCACAGGTGCCATTGACACATTTGACATTACTGCATGGGTCCACTGAAAGAAGATATAGTACTGTTTGTAATACAGATTAATTCTGACTCAAAATTCAGACTAAAATTTGGGTCTGAAATAAAAGACCAATGTACTGCCAGTTAAGAAAAAGAAAACATCAAATGCAGCGATACAAAAACCACCAATATATATGGCCATAATTTACAGTTGCTGTAAGGGCAACAGGTACAGTACCTGTGGTGGCTTGAACGGTCTTAACGATGATCAACCTTGAGAACACCCATAGATAATTCTTTCAACAATTGTTTTAAAATAAATAAATAAATATTGCCTTATTAAACACTAAATTCTGCTATTGAAAAATGGTGCAGTTCAGATATATGAATGGCCAAAATTTACAGTCACTGTTAGGGCAACAGTTACAGTACATGTGGTGGCTAGAACAGTCTTAATGCAGATCAACCTCAGGTCATAAGACCTGAATTATGGAATAATTCTTCTGGCAATTTTTGAAAAATAAATAAGCTGGTAAATAATTACATTGAAAAATATATTGTACAAAATTTGATAAAAACATACACACACAAACAAATAAGTATATGCTTCAAGTTATCAAAAAAAAAAAAAAAAATTAAAGGGACTATTATTCAGACTGACCCATGATCTCATTTAATGTAACATTAAAAGAAGTAAAAAATCGTGACACAATAAACTTCATACTTAAGAGTAAATAAGGGTAAACCAACACCCACATTTAAAATGTTTTCATTTCCAAATGAAGCAGAAAAAGCACTGCACTGCACCAGTTAATGTCCTAAGGCAAGCATTTAGTCTCCCCATTAAATTAATGACCCTTCTCAATGTGCTGTTGAAAATAAAGGCAGGTCACATAAAATTGTTGGATATATTCAATCACCAAAAACACAGTAAAATATAGAAACACTTTTTGACAATGTGCCTCCAAATTATATATTTATACAAATTACAATAATCTAACAGGAGATCATTTTGGAGCAAGATGACTATATCATATGAATTCCCAATCTTTGCTTATTTAATTTTATACATTTTTATACATTGACCTAGCCTATTTGTGAGAGGGGGAAAGGCAATATCATTTATTTTATTTTTCCAGTTTTTATTTTATTCTTTTTTATGATTCCTTAAATGGTAAAATGTTTTATCTCCAAGGGGTTGGGATAATTCAATAATGATCAGTTATTTTTAAAAACTTTTTGGTAATTTTAATTAAAATATTAATGTGGTTGATTCAAATTGATTCACCTTAGATATTAATATATGTTGACTGCATATCCATAAGATAAAGGTTTAGATCAGACTTCAAGAAAATAGCTTTATATTGAATAAAAAACTGTCCAAAACAAGTCAAAAATTAATAGATTACCAATGTAAGCTACACATTAACAAAGTTACAAATTCCCATCCAAGAACTGTCAACAAATAAATGGTAAACCAACCATTTGAACATTGCTCTAAGACTTGGTGTTCCTGCCCTAAATCAGTTTGCAAGATATAGGGAGCATTTACACATGCAGGCCAACTGGTCCATCAGGTTTAAACAAGTTTTATGCTAGGATATTTATTTTAAAATATGAATCCATCTGCATCATTATTCAAGTAAATGTAGTGCCAGAACTTCCTTCGAAAAAAATTGCTTCATGCATATTTTTTCTGTACAAATCTGTCTGAAAACCGTTACGAACCAGGCTTGTTTTATGGGTGCACCAGTCTTTGGTGATGTGGAAATGTGCCTTTTGTTCTGAATAGGTGTAAATATCCTTATCAGTTAACCCAGACTCTGTGCTGTTTGCCTAGTGTAGCTCACACCCATTTCATCTATAATGGTCTGATACAAGGCTGCCAATTCTGCACACTAACCCATAGGCTATACAACTTGAAAAGAAGTACAGGAATTTTTAAGTGTTTTTATTCTTCTTATTCTGTTATGAACACAATATTTTCAAATTCTAAAAGCTGTAATTCTGCTTGTCCTTCAGTACCAAAGAATCTGAAGGTGGATACCATAAAATTTTTAAAAAAGCAACAAAGTATTGCCCACATAATAAAAAAATTGTGTTCATGAAAGTTATCATGATTAATTGACCTGCTGAAATTAAATGGGCATTAATTTAAAGAAATTAATCTAAAAGTTTGCAGTATAGAGATTACTACATGGACATGCTCATGTATGACCTAGCTTGGACTTAATGAAGAAAGTAAATGTAAGCAACACTGCGGCAAAATACTGGTACCAGTACATATGTCCATGTAAACACATGAATAAATAGGAGACTTTTGGATTTATTTATTACTGTAAGAAACCAAAGTCTGATTTGCATTTTAGTAAAAAAAAAAGAAACTTGTCTGTTTCTGAAATGTTAATTGAAACATGACAAGTTCATTTGTATATCTATATTAATTGACTATTAAAAATCAAAAGTGTAATTTTTATTTTTGGTGTAAAAAGGAAATGATACTTCCTTCCATCTCCGCTTAAAATTTTGTTTGTAAAAGTATACAAAAGTATCAGCATTTTAAAAGTTTAAAACGGCTGTGTTCAAAACAGCGGACTAAGAGCACATTCCCAGAGATTTAGACTGATCCAACTAGATCAACCTAATTCCCTGGGGGTTCACGCTAAATTGCTGTCAGCCGACTGCCCATGGAAGTTAATTACCCCTTTACAGCTTTTAGTAGGCAGGACAGACATTTCAGCCAGCTAAACTGACAGCAATCTAGTGAGACTCCCCACGGGGATAGATCGATCTAAAATCTGTGGGAATGGGGTCTAAGTAGTCTGTGGATTAAATATGCAACAAGCATTCAAGTGGGATAGGCATATTTGATCTGCAGACTAGTTAGTTCACACTGGTGTGAATATATGGCCTTAGAGTGCATTAAGAATAACAGACTAACAGAATCGCCAATCAAATATGGTGACCCACTAAAAAACTTGTTGCTTAACTCCTGATTAGACACTGAATAGATTCCCCGCAAGGATTATCAACAAGCATTCAAGTGGGTCGCCATATTTGATTCGTGGATCTGTTAGTCTGTTAGGATTAGACACTGAATAGATTCCCGCAAGGATTATCAACAGGCATTCAAGTGGGTCGCCATATTTGATTCGTGGATCTGTTGGTCTGTTAGGATTAGACACTGAATAGATTCCCCGCAAGGATTATCAACAAGCATTCAAGTGGGTCGCCATATTTGATCCGTGGATCTGTTAGTCCTATGTTCTGAATACCCTTTTAGTCACATGTCCAAGGCAGCATATATCATTCCCCACTCCCAACTGATTAATTAGTCATAAATCCTGCTGTCCCATTCATGTGATATCAGATAACAAACATTCCAGAACTACACAGCATCCTACTTGATTCAATAAAAAGATTAAATCAAAAAGAGGCAGAGGAAAAAGGTAATTATATTTTTTCATCATGGAGATCAATAGTTTTCTTATCACGTCTTGGTTGACCAAAGTGGGGAGGTACGTGTGCTGTGGAAAATACTTCCTTGTTCTTGACACGTCTGGTTTGATGATTTATTGACTGGATGATATGGCTGAGGTATAAAATGCTGAATTTAAGACCACAGTGTACAGTTACACCCACCCACCCCTTTAGATTCAGAATTTGCTAGTAGACTTTTCTAAAAAAATTATTAAATACAATCAAATGGGAATGGCAAGTAAAAGGAGACAATACCAAACAAATTCTTCATCCCTGTTCCCTCGTAGTATACTCTCTGTCAAACATTTTACATAAGCAAAGATGTCAAGCATTGTGAAGCAAGTTATTCTTATATCTGTGCCCCACCCCAACACATCCTTTCTATTATCATCCTCTATTATCAATAATTCCATACATCACAAACATAAGTCTGAGGTCCACAAACTTAAGATAACTTGTTTGTGTCAGTATGTAGGTTGACTTCGGTCTCTTTCATCACTTACAATCTGAATCTCAAAGTTGTTTATGGGTAAAGTCCTGTGTGAGGCAATGTACATTGTCTTTTTTATGTTTTATGACAATACACAAGCTCAACATTGTGGAGATTTTAAGTTTTTTTATTATTATTTTACTCAAAGAAAGAGAGGTCTAGCCATGACATAAATGTATTGAATTTTCGTTAATTCTTTCTTGTGGTGCATTTGTCAATACCAATTAAATTAAATTATTCATAACTTTCATTTTGTTTAGGTACATGTAACTTATCAACTTAATCACTCTGAAGTGCTAATTCTGAGAACTCACATGTAAGGCAACTTTAGGGAGGTGGCCATTAATGTATGTTAATACTTATCTTATTTCTTAAAAGGTTTAAATTTCTCTTAGCATAACCCCATTAAGATGATAATTCAGTACAATCACTGGATGTCTACTTAAGAAAAGTAACCAATTGTAGCGTGATAATACAGTAGCTAAAAACAGAGTGTAATAAGTATGGACTGTTCAAAATGGTCTCACAAAACATGACAAATTCTTGAGAGACAAGAGTTCTTGCTTCAGTCACAATATTCCTCTTCAAGTGTTGTTGTTATTATGTATCAAATTCAAATAAAATGATAATAAACAAATAGATATGTAAATCAATAATATTCTGAATTAAAAAATCATGACATTCTCCAAAACAATATTTTTTAGTTATGCATAAAAAGATATTTGAATGAAGATGTTTTTAATATTTGATACTTATATATTTAAGGGAATTTAGGTCAGAAAGAATATTTTTGTTAGTAACTTAAAAACTATACATCTTTAAAAAGTACTTGAATGAGGGAGGTGTTTGAAAATTTCAACTTTCTACATTATATTTCAAATTTTTGAATGAAAAATTTTAAGATTGAAGCTAGAACTCAGATATCATACTCCATCCTCTAGAGTAGATTACTCGGGATAAACATAGTACATGTACTTGAGCTGAGTAGGACACAATGGGATATGATAATCTGGCTGTAAGTATGACTGAAGGATTATCATTTGAAAACTCATTACTAACCACTTGAACTGTAACAGCTAACATTTAGCTGTAGAATGGAGAGTCCTTGTATCTCTCTTTTCTAATACGTTTTCATCTATCTTTTACCTTTTAAAATTAAAATCATGTCAGAATGTAATTGTTCACCCCCAGAAACACAAAGAAATGTAAAAAGTATTAATCAAGCTTTGTTTTTTTCAAAATGACTGAGTTGAAAGAATAACTGTACATGTAATTATAATTTACCTGTGCTCTCTGCAGCCACAGAAGTTGATGGTGACTTGGTTGTTGAACCTATTGAGGTATCACTAGCAGTAGGGCCTATATTTTAAAATAAACTTGTTTTAATAATATTAGAAGGGAGCTTTGGGAAAATGTTTTATCCGTCCAAGACAGGCCAATAGCTGGAAAAAAGGTCTGCTCTGGAAAAATTTTAATATACAAAGGTTTCATGGTAAAATGTCTACTTTTTCAGAAAAAGAACCCCTTTCAAAATTGTTGGCTATAGATCTTGCAAGATATAAAGCATTAATTTTGGTACTTTAAAACATAATAATACCTTCAGATCATGTAAAAAAAAAGGCATCTGTCACTAAAGTGTAAAAGTTCTCCCCACACACATAAAAAGAAAAAATTAGCTAAAATTTGTTTTCCCAAAATGATTGAGTTCAAAGACTTTTACCTGTGCTATCCAAACCATTAGTAGCTGATGATGGTGGGGTTGATGGACCTATGGAGGTCTCACTGGGAGTAGAACCTAATGATAAATAAATCAATGTTATTTTCATTTATGATTTTAAATTGCGTTTTAATGCATGAAATTTTAAAACATCTGACATAGAGGAATCTATTTCCCATGATAATTTTCAGTTACTAATTAAAAAGTTTATATTTTTTAACTAATTACATTATATTTCAAATTTTGAATGAAAAATTTCAAGATTGAAACAAGAACTCTGATACAATATACTCCATAATACTCCATCCTCCAGAGTACATTACTCGGGATAAACATAGCACATGTACTTGAGGTGAGTGAGACACAATGGGACATGATAATCTGCCTGTAAGTACGTCTGAAGGATTATCATATCAAAACTCATTACAAACCATTTAAACTGTAACAGCTAACATTTAGCTGTAGAATGGAGAGTGCTTGTATCTCTCCTTTCTCTATCTCTATTTTCATCTACATGCTTTAATTTGCTATAATTATTTGATTATATAGGAAAAGTCTTATGTTCCACATTTTGAACTTTTTAATTTAGAATAAGGTATCATTAATCAATTTTAAAATTACAGCTTTCAGATTTAGCTGAGTTTGAAGCACTTATTAATCTATTAACCTATTCATATATTTTTTAAGAAAATGTGTAATAAACACAGAATGAATTAAAATAATATCAACTCCATTTTTGTAATCTGTGATGTAAAATTATATTTTCAAATAGCAGAAACCATGCAGTGTTAAGTGTAGAAGTAGATATCTTCAAACGGATGAAAAATTTTCAACTGATTATTTTCCAATCATATTATCAAGTTTAATTTTCATTTTATAAGACTATCTCTTTGTGTTTTTGTGCATTCCTTAATTATTTAATTAATCATTTAATTAACCTTGCTTTTACATATTTCATATTACTTTCCAGATATATGTGTTGCAACATATATATGGTAATTTTTTGCATAAGTGAAATAGGGAAATATAAATTACATTTCCAGAAACATTAATTGCTAAATAATTTAAAACCAGCTTTTTGAAATGGCAAAAAGCTTAAACATATCAAATGAATTGAATCATTAGCTGAGGAAGTTGAGTCTTAGACGTGGTCTGTCTGCTGCACTTTATAAAAAAAGTTAAAAACAAGTTTGTCAAAAAATTAAAAAGAAATTCAATTGGCCATCTTTCTGACAAAGCAATTAAGTTTATCAGATAGTTCAAAGAATTATCCTACTTTAAAATTATAATTACTGGGTACCTGTGGTATCCACGGCAGCATTAGTTGATGCTGACTGGGTTGATGGATCCATGGAGGTACTGCTAGGAGTTGAACCTCTATTTGTTCCTTCAGACAGGAGAAATAAAAAGTTAATGGGGAGCATGAGTGAAATGTTGAGCATACAGAGTACCCATTTATAATAATAATAATGATAAATATATCCTAATTGGATCTGTTAAAAAAAGTCATTCTGTCATTAACTTTAGCCAAACTTAGTTTTTTAAAAATGACTGAGTCAAAAAATATTACCAAATCAGAATTATAATTACCTGTGCTCTCCATGGCAGCATTAGTTAACAGTGACAGGGTTGATGAATCTGTTGGGGCACCACTAGAAGTAGAACCTGTATTTGTTCCTATAGATAACATAAATCAAAGTTGTTTTAATTAATAGTTAATAGGGAGTATGAATGAAATGCAAGAGCCTATGGAGTACAAATTCAAATACTATGAAATATAATAATTACACCAGTACCTTAAGATGTCAGGAAAGTTACTAAAATTACTGCTACAAAAAGTTAGTTACTGTCACTAAATTGTAGATGTTCAGTGAATTCGACAGCTAATACCAATTCAAAAATTTTGAAATGAAATTATATCCATATACTGTACACAGGTTCACACACCAGAGATTTCAGATGTCACCTCAGAGGAGGAAGAAGTGGTTGAAGCGCCTCCTGAAGAGAGGCTGGAAGATGTTGTACTGCTGTCATTAGTGGGAAGTTTTGTTGCAGTGAGATTGCTTGTTGTTTTAGTAATACTTTCTGTTGTTTCAGAAGTGGTCTCCGCAGTAGTTGGTGTAGTCGAACTGGTAGTTGTTTTAGAACTGGTCTCCACAGTAGCTGGTGTAGTTGTACTGGTAGTTGTTTCTGCTGCTGTAGTTACTGTAGTGATAGTGGTACTCAGGGTTGTATCATTTAATATAAGTAACAAGATATATATCAGAGAACTGATGGCTGATTTATGACTTAGAATCTTAGTGAGAAAGTAACAAAAGACAACAAATACTGAGTTTGTATCAAAATATAAAGAAAGGGAATTGTAAGAATGCTTTGCAAAGATTTGAAAATCACAGCTTGATAAGTTCCAGTATATCATGTACATGCAAGTACATAAATTATTTTTTAAAATTTAAAAATGAAATGAACAGCCACTATTTATACTGATTTACATTAGTTAATAAATAAATATGATATAATAATGAATAGTTACCAGTTGAATTAGCAGCTCCTGTTCCAGCTTGAAGAAATATGGCACAAATAAAAAATGCAGCTATTCTCAGAGAAACATTCATCTTTAAGTCGCAATGGCACAGATTATTACAATATCCACTCTGTATGTGATCTGCACTGGAAAATTATAAAGTTAACTCCTCCTTTTGGCTGGTTATGGGTTCAACATGTCCCATACAAAGTTGTGGTAAATATTTAGTAAAACAATGTGAAATAAACATCTGTGAAAACAACACTGAACAAACCACCAACTGCCAACAATTAGCCTCAGCAAGTGGCTGGTAAAAAAAACACGCTGTTTTAAAAATAACTGTTGAGTTAGAGAACACACGTCTGCCTCATTTGCGGCCCACTGGTCGATAAGTCATTGGTGTGGTAACTACTGCTATAAGAGTATCACAAAGTGTTTGTGACCTGCTCTCCTGAAGTGTTTGCACAAGCTGATAACAGAAATTCAGTGTAAGACACACAGCAAGTACAGGGATATTGGGACATCAAAGGATTTTGTGTGGCACAGCAGCAATTATCTGCTGTTATCATCATATTGTCTTCTTCTTCATTTGAAACATTATATTTTTATCCTATTACAGTTATTTGTGCCTTATTTTGAAAGAGTTTTTTAGTGTGATCAAGTGTGTGATGATTTCTAATTTGACAATGTATAAAAATACTGCTTTGACAAAATCAATGACAGTTTTTTTCTTTTTCTTTTTCAATCTCATTTAATTTATGATCATCAGCAATGATCAAATGTAACTAACTTCGAAACTTAGACCTGTAAATTATATTTAAACCTCCCTTATGAAAATGACCTTGGTGAACGCAGGGACAAATGAGGCGATATGACTATGAACATATTTATCAGCTATAGATTTTATTTTAGTTAAAGCAATGATTCATTGGCCATGTATCTATTATAGTTAAACAAAGTTGCTGTTTGACCTGCCATATCCTAAATTTTGCTCAATATCAATATCAAATTATGATACGGCATTTAATTATCAAACATTTTCCATCTAAATCTTTTCAATCATAAGTTATTATAACATTCTGCCCACATAATAAAGTATTTCTAAGTACAATTTATCTTTTTCCAATATATAATTTTAATTATGTTATTTTGTGTTATAACATCTGAAACATTTAACATCTAGTTCTTAAGTAAACACATTCTACATATTCATGTACTGTGTATAAGCTCAAACTCACTATTCCTAACGGAATTCAGTTCTCCTTTTGTGACCCATAAACATGCAAAAAAGGATGGGTATTGGGGGGGCACCTGCCTTTTTTTTTCATCCTCAGTATTCTAGACCTGAGGATTAATCAAGTGTTGAGATTGCAGGGTCAACCGAATTGTAATTTAAACAAAAACAAGCAAAGATGGTAATTTAATCTCATACATGCCTTATTAGTGACTTGAGTTCTCAGTAAAAGTATTAAAATATTCAACTAAAGTAGTATTTCCACAATCACAGTTCTTAGAAATTGCCGTTCAGACTCTGTCGTTTATCGAGTAATGATCAACAAGTTGACCCCTGATGTGCAGATTGTGGGTAAACATTGAACAATACAGGTATACAACCATGAGTTAATCAGTAAACTCACTTCTCTGGGGTGTATCTGTGGAAAAAAGACCTATGAAATTTGCTGAAAGGACACATCTTCTATATGGGAACATTAGGGGCTGAGATATTGATAAAAATCTCTCAGTGGTGCCCCTGGTATGTTACTCTCAGAGCACAACATGTGTTCATTGCGTGCCATATCCTAGATATGCCACCGTATTTTTTTGATATCTTCAATCAGTAAGTTTGATTTTCCTGTTCCTGATAAAGAACTTAGAGTGAAAGAAGATAATAATTTAATTGTACTCACATCAACAGACATGGACCCGTTTTAATGACATAATTATTGCCCTTATTGACCCCAAATTTCATTTCATGTCAGCCGCATTTGTTTTTTAATTTTAATTATCAAATTTTATATGTTGGTAATGCTGCTTGTAATCCAGTATTGGGAGGTTAGTTGAGCTTTAACTTTTAACTTAAAAACCACTTTTAAAAAATATTACAGTGATGATGCTACTCCATCTCCTTGTTATTACTTGTTTATTTCACTGAACAATAAATCTGTCATATTATAATCAAATGGATATGTATATATGATTATGCAACTAGGACTTAAGAAGCTACTATAAATTTTGTGTTGTTGTCACATTAACCAATATGTACATGTATCTTCTTAAAGGAACCCTTTACTTCAGAAATGACTTTTTTTAAATCTCACTTTTTCCAACAACAAAAGGTTCATATACAAAAAAGTACTCTTGCACAACATTTAATGTAACAAATTAGTTCAGAATGGACGGAATGCTGCATTTTTCAGAATCCTACTGGAAAAAAAACAATCTTAAAATGCACTTAGATATATCCTGAATAAAAGATTTTAACACATGCATAAACATGGTTTTATATACATGTGTATCCCGGCAACTAAACACACAGTTTAATTTAAATCAGAAAATTATAATAATAATAATAATAATAACTGACACTGTATAGTTTCAACAACTCAAATTTGTTTTGACCTTACTTAAAAACACATTTCCCAACATTAAAATCAAATAAAGATGAGATGACAAAGCATGAAAAAAAACATGCTTGAAATTTTAGCAATAAGAAAGGCAAAAAAAAAATGGAACATTATTCAACTGAGCCTCTTAGTAAAATTGATATGTATTTAATATAGATGACTCCAGCAAGTAGAAACACACGACTGTGTCCGTTTCCCAATGATAAACAAAGTGCATGGCCATTCCATCACATTAGCCACACCAACAGACTGGTGATAGCTGCAAGAACGGACAAATTCAGTGTCTGCATGAAAATCTCCCACCCACACAAAAAATAATACAAAAATAAAGAAATAATCAATAAAGAAATATTTAATACACAACATAGCTTAAAAATTAAAATCATATTTCTATTGAATCTGACATCAGTTAAAATATCACTTCCCTGAATCTTAAACATCTGTCTTGGTTCTCCTGCATCTCCTGTCAATCCAGTAGATGTCACCAGTATCTGCGTATTATGATATTAATTATGTCACAGTTCCAAAAGTGTTACACATATCATCATGAATGACACCATCACAAAGAGTTTTGTTATATGTTTATAGTTGGCACTAGTGTCTATGTCCATTCGACATGTCTTCATTGGCTGAGGCAATACCTGAATCTGGTTTTATCCCATCCTCATCTGCATCAGACTCCTCTGACTCTTCGGGAGAACTAAATTGAAAAACAAAAAATCAATTTTGATGATTTAAACTAAGTTTCAAAAAACAACACACCATTTTGTTAAATTTGGAACCGTAACTGATGAGTCACAGTCTGGTACATATAAGAAAACAGAGAACACGTTGGATGTCTGTTCACATGCTCTATCTAACAACAGTAATTTCCGACATACACAACAGGCCTGATAGACAGTGACAGAAAATAAGGTAACATAAGTACAGCGCCTGCATATTTCTATAAAAAATACCTATACCTGTCATCATCATCATCATCGTCGTCATCGTCGTCGTCCTCGTCTTCATCATCGTCGTCTTCCTCATCATCATCACTCTCTTCAGAACTGGCCTCTGCATCTGTAAAATGTCAGAATATAAAAAAACTGCTGCTGCCTGATCACTACAACATGTCGAATATAACCTGAATGTCCATCTAGGTAGCTAAACATTAAAAAGAATATTGATTTTAACCTTATTTCAGGAATGTTAAGTTCACACAGACTTTCAGGGATGTAATTCCGAAAAAAAAAGTTCCAATTTTTGTATATTTATATGGTAATCACATGAAAACAAACACAGCAGACAACATCACAAATTATGACAATCACTTGGGAAAAGAAATGTGATGGGACTTTACAACAAATTGTGGTTCATTAATCTGTGGTGCAAAATAAAATATTTGACACAACTCACAATATCATTTCAACAATTGAATCTAGTTTTAAAAACAAAGGAACAAGAGTGACTTACCAAGCTGCATCTTCTCTTCAATCAGTGGTTTGAACATGAGAGCCTCGGGGTGTTCTGGCTCATACAGGAGAACTGAAAATGGGTTTTAATGAGAATGTTAAAGTCTTTAAAGCTTGAAAGCAAATTACAGGGATGGGATGCAAGGATGCTTAAGAGAAGCGAATCCTCTCCCCCTCCCCAGAATCCCCAAAATGATGAAAACTGCACTCCATAAAGAAAAATAAATTGCAGTATTCTCAAATACCTTTTAAAAGCACTATGAACCCTTGAAAACTCCCATATTTCTTAAATGTTCTGTTATATGCACTTACTCATCTGACAGAGTTTAGCTGCATTTGGGTAATCTTGCTCCATCACACATTGAAGAAACTGGAAGAAGATTTTCAAAATTTAGTGAACAGCTTTTTTGTGCAATGGCTTTTCTTGCCTGTGCTATACATAGTTTACCAGCAAAACTTGTTGAACTGTAAGATGAAAGTATTATCGAAAGAGTTAAAATTGTTATATCTTTGCATGTCTTTTTTACTTTTTGTCAGGTTACATGATTCTAAAAGAAAGGATTGCTTTCAATTTTTTAGAACAAACACCTTATATTTTGATTATACTTCGAAATGTGACTAAATTCTAGACTTTATGTGAGGGCAGTATTTACCTCCATAATCAACTGGTTGGGAGCCTTCACCTCCTCTTCCTCCTCATCTTCTTCATCTTCATCCTCATCTTCCGCATCAGCGTCATCGCCTTCTGCAGTGGCTATATCAGGTTTGACAGATTTGTTGCTATTATTCCTGTAAAAAATGAACTGTTGTAATAAATGCTATTATTAATGTAATATCCAAAAAGACAAGGAACGTTATTATTTTTGTATAAATTTGATAGAGCTTCTGACAAAAGATGAAAGTTTGGCACATAGTAATGACTTTGTGATCACTAATTGTCATAATGATATCATCTGTTATCAGACAATGAAAATCAAAATTTATATTATTCATTCTGCAGAAAGAGAAAAAAAACATGAAGCCCTAAATATCTGATTTTGAATTCTGAGGCTGCTTTTTCCCTGCTATGCACTCACTGTGCATACAGTAATACAAGGTTTGACTGATACAAAAAGACCAATCCATTTCCACTGTATCCACATACCCATTACTGGATGCTTCCGCCCCAGTGCTGACTGTACTCTGAGGATCTGGCGCCCTCTTGTGGCGAGAAGAACCTTAAAATATTGAAAATAATTCTGAATCAGTTATAGGAAATAACTTTTTTCAATGATCTATATACATACCTCCCTTTATTGCATACTTTATTGTGTCCTACTGTGACATCAACATATTTAATCAAATATTAAGTATAAAGACTTGATTAAGTAATATAAAACAAAAAACAGCATATCCAGCTCCATACATCAGATATGACAATGAAGGAAACGTGAAGCATGTGACATTGTGTTTGATGTAAAACACTTTTCAGTGTCTCAATAAAATTGGGCTAGGTGTGACAGCTTTAATGTGTTTGAAGTGACTTCAAGATTGTGCTAAAACAGACAACACTATTGTGTTAGTTGTGACAACACATTCCTCTCCACTCACCACCAAGCAACGGATGTCCCTGCAGTGACATGTCCTTCATCTCCTGTTCTAGCTTGGATTCTTCTCTCCTAAATACAACAAATTAAACCTTAGAAGCCTTTTCACTTTGAAAAGCTTGTTGGAAAAACATGTTTATATTTGGGGGCATAAAAGATATTCAAAATAAAATAAGATGAAAGCTTTGGAAAAAGGTCTGTGTTATCTGGACACAAAAGAATTCACATATTATAAAAGCCTGTCCGTTTCTCATACAGCAACTAGTATCAGCCTTTGTTAGGAAATTTTTATAATATCAATATATTGAGAAATAACAGTCAAGGTAACCCACCTAAGTTTCTCTTCCTCCTGTGCTTCATATGCCTTCCAGTCAAAGTCTCCAAAACTCACATCGGTGCTAATAAAAATAGCAAATGAAAACAAGGAAATGATCATAATATACAAATATATTTTATTTTATCATGGACTCTGCATACCTCATATGAAGGATACACAGGGTACCCAAAAATGTTTATTAGCAACATTGGACGGTCATAAATTCCAAGACTGAGATGAGTTGGATTTTATACGAACTGCTGATACATGGAAGGCACTGTTGATTAAGTTGAATTAAAAAAGTGAAACAGCACTTTGTCAGAAAGAACCTCATATATCCATCAGTAATGAATATTACACTTTTTAATTTAAAAATTCAAGGAGTGGAACAATAAAAGATAACCCACTCTTCTTTCTTCCTGACTGTCTGCAGAGCAACCTGTTTGGTTGGAGTCATACTTCTCCTCCCAGAACCAGAGTCTGCTCTCTGTAAACCTGGAGGTCTGCTGCCTGCACTGGTCCTCCTGGAGATAAACATGGGACAGCTTGAGAATTTTTCTTATCACATAATGCTGAATGCAACATGTCAAAACATCGACATGTTAAAAAAAGCCAAAAAGTTTCCTATATAGATCTATATGTTTTAAGCAGGATATGCATTAAGATACATAGGCATTAAAATGTGTCCAAATAAATATTATTCAATCAGTCTATACACTCACATACAAATAAATAATTTTTTTCTCTACTAACGCAATCACAAGGCAACACAATATCATAATGACACATGTGTCACACCTAACACAATTTGTTTATTACAAGTACCTTGCTCCACTGCCAGCTCTTTTTTCTGAACCAGGACTTCCCATGGAACCATCACCAATTTCTAAAAGTATAACAAATCACTTTTTATTCATTCATTTCTTTTCTCGCTGTATTTAATGAACAAAATATAGTAACAATCAATTAACACAAAAAGTCTATCACAAATATTCAGTTCCACAACTGTATATATCATGCCACTGGTGACCAAGGTAAATGGTAACTAGTTACATATGTTAAGATTTAATAGTGACCCAAATCACAAGATTTTTACTTTGCTTTCTCATCTATATGAAAACAATGTGTGGGTAAATTGTCTTCACTAACCTTGACCCTGTGGGGGAAGAAACTGAAGACTGCTCCCAATTTGCTTCTGCTGAAAAGAAAAATTAAACATCTCAACAAGTAACAAACAAATCAACATTTTAATAAATAAATACCAGGTTCCAAAGAAATACTGTATAACTAAGTGACACAAGTAATAACATGTATTGATGACTATAATCCTATCAAGATAATTCTCTTCCTCTATACAATATGCTTAGGTATAGCACTGGTTTGTTGTGCATCCTCTGTTTGAAAATGTGAAGCAAAATTATCATTTTCATCCTTTTAAAAAAAGCTATTTAGAGGCAAACAACTTACCTTTTTCACAGGGCCTGACATTCTGTGTGAAGATATTGGTGATCTATAAAAAACATACCAATGCAAGCTTGCAGCATATGTAAAACAGGCTTTTACTTTGTTGATTTTTATGTCAATCATACAAGTAAAAAAAAAGAAAAAAAATTCAACTCATAAGCTATTAAATGAGTTTGTTTTTCCACATCGTCAACAGACCATCTTGTACTATAAAAGGAAAACTATGTATTGAATTGTACAACATCTTATTAATTATAATCCTCTGAAATCTTCTTAACTAATCAATACTCTGCTGCTAAAACCTACAATAATTCAATACTTGGAGCCAGATTTAATGAGCAACCCTGAACCAGATTACTAGTACATACAATATGTCAATATTCTTATTCTGTGGGTTATTAACAATAAAGCAACATTGTATGTAGTAAAGTATATGAATGCTGGCATTTTGACCTTTATATTTCCATAGTCAAGTCACCTACAAAATCCATTCAGATTTATAGACCCAAGAAAACTACAGTCCAGATAAAAAAAAAATTGTAGATAAAGGTGAAATCAACTAAAACAACTCCTGAAATTCTCTTGATTTGATCCAAATAGTAGTTATGATAAATCGTCTTTTTTTCATTAGTTCCATAAAAAAGTTAGTCAATGACACCCTGAGCTTCAGAGCTAACTTGACACTAACCTTTTCACTGTAGCCTATCTCCATCGTGTCAAGTAACCTCTGACCAGATTCGAGTGCCCCCGCCGCCCGCCAATCAAATTTAAAGCCCGCACTCAATGACTCATTGAACGATCTAGCCAATGAACGCGAACGAGTCAAAGCGCGCTTTGTTCAAATCCGGACCAATCAAAGATAAGGCTGAATATCAGGGACTTGCCGTAACCTGTGGGCAGCACGCAAAATACATCATCCCTCAGTAGATAATGATGCAGGGCATCATACTGCTCTGGTTTCAATTCCGATATACTCCATGCTTTCTTTGTGTACGGTTATGCACTCGGAACCACTCGGAACTACTCGGATGTCTCCGCACTCGACAATAACTATGTTGTTAGTATGGAGCTTGCGGAATCAGCCGAGGATTGCCGATTGACGATCAACCAATCAGCGTTTTCACCAAACTTTGGTGAAAAATTTTGAAACATGGATTCGATTGGCTTATATAAAATAGGTCAAACTATTTTCGTCAGAGGTTACTTGACACGATGGAGATAGGCTACAGTGAAAAGGTTAGTGTCAAGT